CCCAATGGCTTAAAGCACACCAGGGTCATGGGTATGCATGCCCAAAATCCTGAGAGGAGAATGGAGGAAAAGGGATTGTGGCATGGCCATCCCCTCTGGGAGGCGATTTCTCACTTTCTGTTTCTTTGTCTCTGTCTCTCTGGTGAGTGCATGCACCCTATAGTAAAAATCTCTCTTTTTTTTTGAAATTTAAAGAAAAAATTTATTGAAGATCTGAAAAACAATTCCTAAAAGATTGACTTCAGAAAACTGTAGCTACACAATGCATTGTGTCTGCCATGTTAAAACGTGCATTAGACACAAATACAAAACCATGAAACAAGCCACCATTCTTCAACAATTTGAGCGAAGATAATGCTTAATGGGTGTTCAGTTATATACACTGAATAGAACCTTTAGCACTAGGAATCAGAGCATTTTGTCATATAATATTAACATATAACATTGTCATATAACATTAACACATATTATAAAAGTATGTAGTGTCAAAGAAAAGGAAAAAGGAGCCGAACCCCTTCTATTTTCTCTGTTTAAAATCAAACAGAAACAAACATCAATTCTGTTGTACACTAACATCTTCAAAGTACATAGTTTGTACAAGAGAAGGACTAAGAACAAAAATGTGTTTACAGAGGTCTAAACAGAGGTGAGCGAGTGAGCCCCTCATACAGCTTTCCAATGGTACTCGGGGAGCCACTTCATAATCGCTGACACTAAACAAGGTTGCAGAATTCTTTGCCAGGTACTTTAGGAAATCGTGAAGATAATTCAGTAATAAAGCAAGGCTCTTCTCATCAAGAGGTGTATAGGCCAACATCACACCAATCCGTACAAATAATCTCAGTAGATGAGGTGCTCCATACACCTGGGACATGGGCGCATCAGGGTGATCTGCAAGGATCTCTGCATACTGTGGTCTCTTGAACTTATAGAGCAGCTGAGTGCCCAACATGACGTTGAAGTATTCTTTTATACCTGCCACAACTTCATTCACAGCATACTCGTTATTATCGGTGTTTCCTCAAGATTTCCTATAATTTGCATAATCCTCCAGAATGGAATTCACATTCTTCCTAGCAGGAAGATAAAAGAGCTGTTTTGGCCTGGTGATTAAGTCCCAGTGATCAACAAGCCATGGTTTTAGTTCTTCGGGAATCTTTAACTTCAACTTTGTTCATAAATGTTTCCTCATTTTCAACAGTAGGATTACCCTGGCCCTTTTCTTCCAAGGAGGTTGAGGCGTCTCACTGGTACTGCCGCCATCTCCATTCCCAGGTGTTTTCTGTTTGTTCTTTTTTGTTTTCACTTCAATATTTTTCTGTTGCAGACCAGATGTCTTCTTTCCTGGCACAGCCCGTCTCCTCTTGCCCTCTGCACACTGCTCCTGATTGGCTTTTTGAAGTTCTCACTGTTTCTGCAGATTGGTGTCCACATATCTGAGTGCTCTGCTCTCTGGAACCCATTCATCCCAATTTTTATTCCAACCACTGTAATGTATGAAATATTTCACTTGCTTATCCTTTATGGCAACTTTCACACACTTTGCTTCATAATGATGAGGTCCATGAAAGCACAGCACTCTTTCACCCTCCTGAAATTTAGGCTTTGGATCCTGCTTCAGCGTCATTTATAAGTGATTCACCGCCTCCTCTTTCTCCCACCACCCCCCGACTACTGCCCCCTACTCTCTACTCCACCCCAGTAAAAATCTCTCTTAAAAAAGAAAAAGAATGTCTAAATCAGAGTCTTTGTCCATTTTTTTTAATTTTTATTTATTTCAATTTTACCAGAGAGAGACAGACAGAGAGAAAGCAAGAGAAGGAAAGTGAGAAAGCAAGTCACCCGGTATGGAACCCAAACTGTGGTAGCCATATGGGAGTCCAGCGCCCTTAACCACCACTCCACCTGCCGGCCACTCTGCCCATTTTCAAATAGAGCTGTTTGTGTATTGGCTATTAAGTAGCATGTATCTATAATAAATTTTAGATATTAATTTCTTATTAGATATATGATTTGCAAATATAATATTTTCCCCAGTCTATCCATGTCTTTTCATTTAGTTAATTGTTTCCTTTGTAATGCAGAAGGTTTTTCATTTGCTGTAGTCCCACTTATTTAATTTTTGCTTTTGTAGCCTATCCTTTTGTGATCATATTCAAAAACTCACCTCTGAGATCAGTATCAAAGAACTTTTTCCCTATGTTTTTTTCTAGTAGTTTTTCAGGTTTCAGTACTTAAGATGTTAAACCTATTTTGAATTCCAATTTCATTCTTTTACATGTGAGTATCCAGTTTTACCAATACCATTTATTGTAGAAACTATCCTTCCCCCATTCTGTATTCTTGCCATCCTTGTTGAAAATTATTTGAGAGTATATGCATGGCTTTATTTCTGGAATCTCTGGGTTGTTTCTGTTCCATTGGTCTATGTATCTACTTTTTGCCAGTAGCGGATTGTTATAGCTTGGTAATATAATTTGAAATCAGGAAGGAATGCCTCCAGCTTTGTTTTCACTCAAAATTACTTTGTCTAGTTGGAGTCTTGTGGTTCCATGCAAGTTTTGGTATGGCTGTTTCTATTTCCAATGCCATTCGGATTGTGATAGAGATTAGATTGACTCTAAATATTGCTTTGGATATTAGGGACATTTCAGCAATATTAAGTTTTATACTCCATGAACATAATATATCTTTCTATTTATTTGTATCTAATACCTTTCATTAATATTTTATAGTTTTCGATGTGCAGCTCTTGAGCTTCCTTAGTTAAATTTATGTCTAAATATTTTATTCCTTTTCTCTACTAAACTTTATAAGTTTTTGGTATGTTATTTTCCTGGTTTCTTCAATTCTCTCTGTGTTCTCTTGTAGTTCATTACTCTTTTTTTTGTTTGAGAGATTTTTGCTATAGGACACATATACTCGCTAGAGAGACAGAGAGAAACAGTGAGACAGAAAGTGAGAAATTACTCCTCAGGGGAATGACCACGCTGCAATCCCTTCTTTTCCATTTCTCAGGATTTGGGGCACATAAGCACATGCACCTGGCATGAGTTTCAAACCACAAGGTCCAAGACTTGAACCACAGTTGGCCATGTGGGGATCCAGTGCCATAGCCATTACACTAACTGCTGGTCCCATGACCTAGATTTATCTTTTAATAAAATGGTTTTCCCAGCAATACCTACTAAACAATCTCTTGCCATTAATTTAGTTGTTATTTTATCAATATATTAAGTTTCTACATATATATCTTAGTAAATTATAGAGCAAGCCCACATATCTTCATTCTCCTTTTTTAAAGTTAATATTCATGGGCCTTCATTCCTTAAAATTTTTAAATTTACCAAGTTTCTCAAAAAATTTAAATTTTGTATAGTATTAATCATTTTGGAAGGAGACCAGCAGATGGTGTAATGGTTACATCACTGGACTCCCACATAGTCAACCACAGTTCAAGTCCCAGACCCGGTGGCTTAAAACTCATGTCAGGCACATGTGTGTGTGCTCAAAATCCCAAGAGGAAAATGGAAGAAAATTGTGTTGTAGCCATCTTCCCAGGGGGTCATTTCTTGCTTTCTATCTCTCTGGCGAGTGCAAGTGCCCTATAGCAAAGATTCCTCTCTAAAAATTAATAATAATAAAAAAATAATTTTGGAAGAATTGGCATCTTTATACCATTGAGTCAAAGCATCCAAGAGCATGGAATTCTCTCTCCATTCAGATCACCTTAATCATCTTCTACATCCATTATTAGAGTTTTAAAGTTTAAGTTTTTATATACACTTGGTTACATTAACCCCTGGATACTTTATAGTTTTTGTAACAATAAATGTGGTCTTATTCTTATTACATTTTGTAGTCTATTACTACCAGTGTAGAAAAATGATACTGGTTTTTATAGGTTAATTTTCAATCTGAAAGCCCAAATAACTATATATCTAGTTCTAAAAGTTTTTTAGCAAATACCACAGACTTTTCAAAATAAATGACAATACCGATCATATAATTTTACCATTTTATTTCCAAACCTTTCACTACTTCTTAATTCTTTTCTTTTCTCACTAGTCAGTTCGATGATAAATAAAAAAAGTAACAGTGGGGATCTTTGGTTTCTCTTATTGGCATAGATGTAAATGCCTCTCCCCCACCCCAACTCATATGATGAAATCTAATCCCTAATGTGATGAGATTTGGAGATGGGATCTTTTGGGCATGAGTAGGTTTCATGAGTGTGGAGCCCTCATGAATGGAATCAGTCCCCAAAGAGGTATCTCACTCTTTATCTACAAGTTGGCAGTCTGCAGCCTGGAAGGGGGCTTTCACCAGAACTCATTCACACTAACACCCAACCTCACAAGTGGGAGAAATAAATTCTGTTCTTTATAAGCCACCCAACCTACAGTACTTCTTTAAGTAGCCTGAACTAAGACACCAAAACATATCATATGTATTGTACAATAGGTTTAGTTTATAGTTTTCACCAAGATAAAGAACTTTTCTTTAGACTAAATATATCTGTTTTGGCAAGAATCTGAAGAACTCTATAAGAACCCATTAGGTCAAATTCATTGTCAAAAGTACACTTACCCTGGATTTAAAATGTAATATGTTAGCTCGAGCACCTGGGAATAACTTAGAAGCCTGTTTGTTACTAACTGGAGGTGGGTGCGCAGTTGTCATCTAACATAGAAGATCTTCCTTAACATATATTAGAAAGAGTCTAAAGATTCAGGGAAATGGGAACCCTAGAATTAATTTATTATTTATAATATATAATAACATATATGTCATTTGTATAACTCTAAGAAGTTTCAGAGGGCACTAAGGCATTAAGACGTACATCAATGACAGTATAGTGACATACTGAAGAGTGTTGTGGCTATCTTTTGTAAGCCAGAGATGACAGTCATGAAGCAACAGTGGAATTAAGTATCTAATTGATTAAAAACTATAGGATCCAGAATAGTAGAAGGCTGGTAATAACATTTAGCTATTGGATACTTACCTGGCAGGGGAGACACCATGATCACAAAGGTGGTTTTCCCAGGGCGAGGCTTATCCTTTGCACTCCAGATACACTGATCCTGAGATTTCCTTAAATGTGGGAAACTCGACTGCATAAATTGTGGTAGTGGGGGACTACGTTAGGGCTTTCTCCTATTAAAAAAAAAAAAAATACTCCATGAGAGCTGAGAACTAGTGCTTTCAGGGAATAAGAGAAATGAAAATTTCTGATGAGAATTCACCCTCCAGATCCCATCCTCAAGTGGAGAGGCAAACAGGGCAGGCCTTCAGAAGAAGACTGACTCCTCAATGGGAGCTGAGAATGAGTCCTTTCAGGAAATAAGAGAAATGATTTTCTGCTGAGAATTCACCCTCCAGACCCTACTCAAGTGTTGGAGCCCCCTGTACCCTTCTCTCTCTCTCTCTCTCTCTCTCTCTCTCTTTCTGTCTCTCTGTCTTTTCATTTTTTAAATTTTTCTTTTTTAAAATGATTAAGGTATTTTCTTGGCTCTCAGATCCTCCTTTATCTTGCTAATAAGCCCCATTCCCCCTCCTATTTAGGAGAGGCAAAAAGGACAGGCCTTCAGAAGACTGACTTCCAGGGCAGCTGAGAACTAGTGCTTTCACTTGGCACACTTGTGCACTGTTCGGTTTTCATTTCTTGTTTTTAAAATATAATCATTTTTTTCTCTTCTCTCTCTCTCTCTCTGTTTTCTTATCCTTTTTCTTTTACCTCACCACTTTGCTGCTCAGCCTCCACACACTGAGTGTCTAGACAGGTCTAAGTGAACCATAGTCAAACATCCGAATATTATTAGGGTCAACATATTCCTCAATTCCCACTGAATCTGCCACACAAAGCAGGAAAAAAAGAAAAAACCAGAACAGCAAACAGATCACCTCCTCCTGCACACCTCTGAATGCTGAGATTGAACTTCTAGAAATCAGGAAGAAATGAATAACCAATCAGATGACTAGAACACCTCAGAGGCACAAGAAATATGAGAAACCAAGAAAATATCTCTCCCCAAAGGAAAAGAATAACTCCTTTTCGTCCACAGATAGTACAATGGAACTTGTGGAAATGTCTGATAAAGAACTTAGAATATTCATAATGACAAAGCTAATAGAGGTTCGAGAGGAGAGACAACAAACTTCAAAAGAATCAGGAGAAAAGAGACAATTAGTTCCAGGAGGTGAGGAAGTTCTTGCATGATCTGAAAGAGGAGATACACATCATGAAAAGGAATCAAATGGAATTGTTAGAAATAAAGGCTATAATACAGGAAGTCAAAACCTCTCTTGAAAGTATTAAAAACAGACTAGATCATACAGAAGATCAAATCTCAGATGTAGAAGACAGAATCACTGGACTCGAAAAATCCACCACAAAGACTGAGGAAATACTGCCAAAAAATGAGAATAATATATGAGAAATACTAGATACCATTAAACGTCCAAACATCTGGATAATTGGTATCCCAGAAGGTAAAGAGACTAATAAGGGCATTTATAATCTATTCCATAAAATCCTGGAATCAAATTTTCTAAACATAGGCATTCAAAGATCCAGTCCCAAGAAATACAAAGGACCCCAAATAGAATCAACCCAAGAGATTTTCTCCAAGACACATTATTTTCAGATTGACCAAAACCACAGACAAAGACAAGATACTAAAACCTCGTAAAAGAGAAAAGGCAAGTTACCTACAATGGATATCCCATCAGGCTAACAGCAGACTGCTCATCGTAAACAATGCAAGCAAGGAAAGAATAGGAAACTATACTCAAAGTGTTGAGTGAAAAACAATTTCAACCAAGAATACTATATCCTGCAAGATTATCCTTCATATGGGAAGAGAAGCCAAGAACATTAACAGATAAACAAAACCTGAAAGAATTTAACAGCACCAGAGCAGTTCTCCGAGAAGTTCTAAAGGGAGTGCTATACCAGGAAGACTAAAGTCAGACACACAGAAATAAGAGTTCAAAAACAAGAAAATGGCCAGCTTAATGGTAGGGACAAGTCCAGAATTGAATGTTATCTTCCAGAATTTAAATGGAAAGATTGGACCACAACAGAAGATAAAGTACATGAACTTGAACTGGTGAAATAGAATTGTATGACTTTTGACTAAAACATTGCTAATCTTCTATGCTTTGTTTTCCAGATTTAAGGATTTTTGTCTTCCCTTGAGTTGTGGACAGGTCCATGTATCTAATATTTAAACAGAATCCTAACCTGTTTCCTGGCCTTAAGTCTTAAGCAAAGTTCCCTTAACTTTTTTTTTTTTTTTTTGAGAGGTTTTTGTTATAGGGCTCCTACACTTGCCAGGAGAGAGAGACAGAGAAAGACAGAGAGACAGAAAGTGAGAAATCACTCCACAGGGGGGATGACCACACTGCAATACCTTCTCCCCCATTCTCCTCTCAGGATCTTGGGCACACACACACATATGCATCCGGCGTAAGTCTAAGCCACCGGGTCCAGGACTCGAACTGTGGTCAACTACATGGGAGTCCAGCAACATAGCCGTTATGCCAACTGTTGGTCCCCTCTTAAGGTTTTTTGATTTTGGTTTATTAAAGCTAAAACTGCCTTTCTTGAAATTAAAAAAATATATATTAAAAATACCTATTTAATGACCACAATAAGCTATATAGCCTCAGCTAGGTGCTACTTTATAGTATGTTCATTCTACCCACAGAGTTTCATGCCTAAAGTCAGACACATATTCACAGATATGTTATATCAGCTAAACTTACTATTGAAAGTAGTTAGAGTAAGATATTTTGTGAATCAATAAGATGTGGGAAAAATATAAAATAGAATGGAAAGCAACTGCAGATACCAGAGACAGCATGGGAGGAGAGTGGGAAATGGCAGAGGGTGAGAAATGGAGGGGGGGGAATATATATATACATATATATGTATATATACATATATATACACATATATATGTATATATAAATATATATAAACAAGAAATGGAAAATTTGTTGATGATAAAGTATGATTAAGCCACTATACAGTGTATTCTGAATGAAAAATCACATTTTATATGCTGTGATGATGTTCAGTGAATTAATGTAAAATAAATAAATTAAGGGACCAGCAGTTAGCATAATGGCTATGTCACTGGACTCCTATGTAGTCGACCATGGTTCAAGTCCCGGACCCGGTGGCTTAAACTCACGCCAGGTGCGTGTGCGTGCATGCCCTCCCCAAGATCCCAAGAGAAGAATGGAGAAGGGATTGCGGAGTGGCCATCCTCCCTGGGGAATGATTTCTCGCTTTCTGTCTCTCTGTCTCCCTCTGTCTCTCTGGCAAGTGCACGTGCCCTATAGCAAAAACCTCTCCAAAAAATAATTAATTAATTAATTAATTAAAAAAAAATTTTAAAGTAATCATTTGTTCTTCCTAAAATGTCTGTTACTTCTCTTCTGAGCTACCTGTAGTCAGATCACTTACTTAGCAAATAGCACAAAGAATCTGCAAGTTGTTGACACCTTACTTCAACAGCTTCTCACAATACACAAGATAATTTCAAGAAGTTTGTGGAAAAATGAAATTGAAATACAAGTTTATTTTGGTACAAATATTTTTTAAATCTGTACATAGTTTTTTTCATACTATATACTTTTCATGAACTTTTGAAGATCTCTCATGAATTATCATTGCTTCGGTAACTACTCACCAGGAATAAGAATAGCCCTTCATCTCCTATGTTTATATATAGCATCAAAGAATGCAACAATATGCAGTCTAATTTACTCTCACTCACTCTAACGCATATGTACCTTATTTATATACATAACTTGATTCTGTTATTTGTTGTCTGTAGTTTTCTGTGTTACGATTTTTCCTTAAATTTTACTGCATTTTTTTTTCCCCATCACATGCTCTAACAATATCCACAGGGAAGAATGAAATCACAGGTCTCTTGTATTCAAGGAAAATGAGTTGGAGAATATGATTGGCTTTTACTGAAACTCAGATGGGTTTGAATAGCATTTTTGTTATATCTGTTCACATAATACTTTTAGTGGTATATTTTATTCACTATTAAAAGCTTTATCATGAGAATTAATTTGAAAGTATTTGATAATAAAATTGATGGATCGTGGAAAAAAAATACATTTAACTATTAGAGAAGATGGAGCTGAAAGTAGAATCCTCTCCCTCACATGTTCCCCAGATTCTTGTTAATACAAATTCATATAGTCTAAGAACTAAAAATCAGAGAAAAAAAAGAACAATTGGTAGGGGGACCAGCAGATGGCATAGTGGTTACATCACTGGACTCTTAACATGGCTGAGTACAGTTCGAGTCTTGGACCCAGTGACTTGAAAATCACATGACCAATTGCAGTCCGAGTCCTGGACCGAGTGGCTTGAAAATCACACCAGGCACTTGTTTCTGCAAGCCCAAATCCCACGAGGAGGATGGAGGAGGAAGTTGCAGTGTGGCCATCCTCCCTGGGGAGTGATTTCTCACTTTCCCTCTCACTGTCTCTCTCTTTCTCTCTCTCGTTCTCTCTCTGGCATGTGCACTGCCCAAAGGGAAAAACTTCTAAAATAAAATAAAATTAAATGGATAAGAGGTAGTTCCACATGTCACACTAGGATATTGTGCTGTGGTTATTTTTTCTGAATCTGGATCTACAAGTCTTGTCCATGTGCTGCTTCAGTTTAATAATAAAAATATATGTTTATATACTATTTATTGGCTATTAACTATGTGCCAGGTAAGTGCTTCTATTTTTTTTTTCTTTTCTTGGAAAATCATGCATTAGGGATGCTATCCCACTCCCAAAGGATTCTATATTAGCTAACTCTCTCGGTCCCGCATCAGGTCCCCAGGAAAACTAAGGATGTGCAAGATCTAAGGATATTTCTCATTAGACTATTAGGTTCCAGAGAAGGTTGTTGGATGTGCCCATCTTAGATTAGTCAGGTGCACTAGGTAGATCACATTCTCAGTAGTAAATCAGGTTGCTTAATAACCAAACCAGTTTATGGCTCTGTAACCCATCCATTATTCCTTCATTCCTTCTTTCCAGTGCCAGATATATTGTTGTACGTGGGCTAACAACCAACTGCCAGTGGCTAGAGGGGAAGGAGAGATGAATGATAAAGAAATCAGATGGGGTAC